AGAAACGCTTACCGAAATACACCTATACCCTATCTTGCACGTTAACTCAAACAAAGAGAGGGTAACAAATGAACTTCGCCTTATCCTTAGACTATGAAATGCCCCTATTCTATCTATAAGCAGTTTTTTCGTGTACGGCTTTTTACTGAAAGGTAAGCTTTAGTTCTTGCAAGAGATACACGATATACAATACCATGCATATCTGTTTCTCGGAAAGGGCGTGCGTATACCGCAACGATACGCGCCGCGTTGCTCTACGACTGCGAAACTTGGCCTATCAGAGCGTTGACTATCCGTCTTCGGTAGCCGTTGTCTGCGCAACATCGCCCGCGTTTGGTGGGAACATCGCGTGAGCAGCGTTGAATCCAGACGACGTGTATCAGATTGGGGTAATTTTTGTTCGGTAACAACATTTCACCGGATCATCTGAGGGTGCTAAGACACGTCCTACGAATCCCTGGACAAAGTGTGCCCTACCATGCTTTATTCACATATATTGAACCAGACAGGAAGAAACGGCGAGATGGGCGAACTGACGTGGTGTAATCGAATTGAAGAAATTGTTTTCGCATGTCTTCCGTCGGGACTTCCAGGCTGGGGCCGCAAAGATTCAGATTGCCATGGACTGGAGACACTGTAGGACACATGGCACTAAATCAAAGTCGATGGCATGAATGCATCTTTTCTTATCTGCCGTCCTAATTGCCTACGGTAAACGAACAAAAGTTTCTATTCCCAACTTGGAACTGATGGTTTTTGTGTTGTCTTTTTTTGCTCTGCTTCTGCGATTTGCTTTCAATCCATGGTTACTTTGTTTCGTATCTGTAAAGATTACTAGATACGCATTCCTGACGAGCGGCAAGAACCGTGAAACCGGTCGTATGCTTCCGGGGAAATTTTGTCCTCACTTAGATACTACTGTCTGTGATATGAATTTTTATCCTTCATGTTCGCATAAGACAATCAGATCCATTTTTCGCTACTCAGCATTCCATATAAACATTTATCTTAGCTCAACAGCGCACTGTTTGATGCAGACCTTTGCAGCCATCTGTTTCAAACGAAAAGGCCATAATATAACAATACTGCATCTCAACGTAGTGTATACTGCAGAAAACGTATTGTTTATCTAGAGCATTGACACTGCAGCAAATTAAATTAAGACGCAATAAATCAAACAAACTAGAGGGAGATGGAAAAAAAGACCATCTCACCATTTTGAGGACAAACTAACATGGAGTTTTTTCTGTTGACACCAAATGGAAGCTCCTATCAATTGATAGCCAACTTTAGCAACCTTGAGATTTTTTACTTGTAGACAATTCGGAGCCCCGCACCTCCGTCGGTCTTGTGTTGCGTCATCAAAAGAAATCGAGCTGTGGCCGATGGTTGGGTTTTGTAATTTCGGTCACCACTTCTATGCGGCAAACTTCACATCGATTGCTTTATCCGACTTTGGAGCCAATTCGGAGTACGTTGGACCACCCGGTTACGTAATTTTCACTCTGTTCTGCCTACGTTAGTCTCTCCGATACCGCATTGAGATTGGTAGACCAGATTACAGTTAACGTACAGAGGCTGACGTTCTACCTCGGGGCTACTCTTGTTGTCCGATGGATGATTTGGGGGTCAGCTGCATAGTAGGTTTAACAGTGGCCGAGTTTCGATCAGATGGATGGCTTACGTCATCACCTTTGAGTTGAAAGCTCAACCCGACTAGCGATTTTTGAGCTAACGTAACGGTTTCCTTTGTGATTATCCATTTACTGCGCTCATTGACAAGCGCTTTGGGTCACCATCCTAACTAAAGAGAAGGTCTTACACGAACTCAGTACATTTACAGAGATAGTCTCGTTTATTTACTTTCCATCATCATCGTCATCATCGTGTATGTTACTTTCACCATTTTCATCCCAGTTTAACAGTGAGCACTTTTTTAGACTGAAATGTGGGTACAGATAACAATACTAATCATGACAATTCAAGAACAAACCGTTGTTTGTACGCACCAGGTCAGACGACTCCCCAGTGGATGTTACACGATTGACGTCCTCGTCGTCGGTAAATGGACCGGTTCGTTAGAGAATACTATATTAAAACTTGGTGTGCATGTTTTCATTTTTCTGTACATCCACCTTCGTTATCGTATCCCGATAACTCGATTCATTTTACCGTCCGTTGAACAGCTGAATCGCCGGAACTCTGTGGTCGTGTGGTTGCCGCTCTGGCCGCGGAACCGGACACGGACAAGCTCGCCCGATCGGGACAGGTCATTCTCGTGTCGGACGTTGCTACCCAGTACGGGATCATGGAAGTAGATGGCAAACCGCCAGCACATGTGCGTTCTCTGAGAACTCTACTGTTCCTAATGGGTTCGCGGCTCGCCTCATTCGTGCCCAGCTTCATTCGTATCCCGAAATCGGTGTTGATGTATATTCTCAGCTGGCGTGACAATTGGACCAGTTGAATGGTGCACTTCTCCGTTCGATCATTTGCTTTATTGTCCGATATCGTTAAACTCCCCAACTCCCCCCGCCCGGCACACACACACTCGTACCGGTCTAATTTTCTCATTTATTTGTACTAATTGCCAGTATTTTGTTTTTTTGAAAATTGTCTCCACTTTATCTTTTTTGCTATACTCTTTTCTATACTCACGATAATCAAGACCAAATAAATGATCGACAGTGCAAAGTGGTTTTCACCTAATCCTTTCATGGTTGGCTGGTTATTTTGTATCGAATTCCGCTTCGCTGTCCTTGGGTAATGATTTCCCTAAAACAAAATCATTCTTGTCACTCATTTTTTGATGATCAATTTATCTTTTGTAGCAGTAATCGTTTCAGCTTTTCCACGAGCACTGTCTTCATGTTTTGTGACGTAACCTGTTTACTAAGGACGAGAGCAGATTTTGTGAAACAGGAAAATATGGGTAAATTATTGTAACCTTTTTACCCCGTCTACTGTTCATCACACGAAAGTGTGTAATAAAAAAAGAAACGGTCACTCACCACATCACGCTCTGTTTACAGTAGCCCCATACAGACTGGAGAAAGCCATGTGGAGGCCAGCAGATGGGGCGTAGAGACGAGCGAGGCATGAGGAAATGCACAGAGCGATTAGGCACAGTAGGTGTGTTCCGGGATTGGGGTCCTGAAGACTCCGTAACTGGATGGCTAGAGACACTGACCGTCATGACAGGAAACCGACAGCAGTGGCGATCTTTCTGGCCCTTTTATCAGACCAGAATGCTTGAAATAGTATGTGTGCGCAGTTGGACCCTGTACTCTGTGTGTTGACCATAGAGGTTCATTTTCTTTCCCCGTCCCTAGAATTAAGTCTAATCCGAATCGACCTTACACATTCTCACCTACCATGTATGCATTATGAGTTTGGCAGCGATCAGTGAAGTTTGCTCGCCTACACTACACTGTACGATGATGATGAAGATAGCTTTTATTGCTTACTTCATATTGAACGAGTGTGATCAATATCATTGTACGGGAACAGACTGACCATTGAGTAATCATAGCGAAGGATGTCTTGTTTTTTGTATTTGTGTATAGTGTTTGGTAACGGTAACTGAGGTTCGCTTTGCTGGTGACGATCAGATTGAGTCGTTGGAGTTGCAGTTGCCTCTACCAACACTGTGCACCGAGGTGCACTTTGCGTTACACACGCGCACAATGTCGTGCAATCAATATTCGTTTAACTGTGCCGCAAGTCACGATTTATTTGCCGATTGTACTGAATCTATCCACAGCTGGGTAATGATCGCATTGTTTTTGTTCAGACTGGTGTTTGTTTTATTGACTTTTCAATACAGACGGAACTCAACCATGGTTGACCCGTAACAAGTGATGAGGTTAGTTTGATAAATTGACAACCAAGCGCACTCACATGTTGATTTGTTCGAAATAGGATTCGATTAAATGCACACAAACGCCAACCGCGACACGTGACGTTTTCCCTCTACACATTTTGAACTTTCGATGGTGCCGGACGGTGAAAAGTAAATCTGGTTAATTCCTGTGATTGCCATACAGTGCCGTGTTGACATCACATAGTGATAGGGCTAAACCCGCTCAACCTTTAATCAAGAAGGTCAAACTACGGGGTACCGATGGCCATGTGGTTTAGTCGCTGTCATAGTGCTTTGGATTCCATCGTACGAAGGTCGGATACCACCATCGAACTTTGGTGGTAGGCAGCTTTGCTGTCGTTCAGATCAGTACCTATTGGGGCCTTATGTGGTTCGCCATTCTAATTCTCGGGGCTTAGGTTGCCGGTTTCCATCACTAAATATCAGGTCTTCGGTCTGCTGTTCATCACGCTCAATATGTATGTGAAACAGAAAAAGTTAGAACGTAATCGATCAAGTGAGGAATCATTCAGTCTAGTGCATTGTCAGCAGAATCAGTCGATTAGATTCGAGAAGAATGTTGCATGTTTCCGTGATCCGGGTTATTGTACACCGTTGTAACCATTCGAAATGTATGTGCATAATTTGCTGCTCATTATTCGTCCATCTGGATGCATAATAAAATTACTGGGTGTATTGGTCGCTGCATCTTCAGCTGAAAAGTTACATATTCAACTGCTATTCATCTATTAAAAAAATCGTAAGAAAACAGTGTAGCGAACAAGTTCGATTGCGGTGATTCTTCTACAGACCAATGCATCACAATTTATATCAAACTGTTTAGAAGGCATGAGGGAAGGAATCATGACAAGTTGGAAAAGAAATGATCAACATTCCAGTTCCATGACCGGATGTCACTCACACACTTTGGTCCTCACAGATG